CTGTGGCCACCGCTCATATTGATGAAAAAAAAGTCCTCTTTTTTTGCTGCTGATGTGTTTTCTGAACAAATTATACACACTGAAAATTTCAGTGCTGGTTATCTGCTGACTACACTCAAGGAGGGAATCTGGATGTTATGTGGCATTCTGTGAATAACACCAGGGAGGGAAAATTGCTCACTCACACTGAAAATGCTTCATTTAAAAAAAAAAAAAAAGAAAGAAAAAGAAAAAAAAACACCACCTCTATCATCTCCAACCTCTAGCAATGGCACTCGCAACAGCTTTCCTACATACCAACACTTTCCCCCCCCATGAAAGTCTCAGATGATGCTTTGTACCCAACAGCCATCAAACTCTGCCCACATTTTCCCTCCTGCAAGTTTTACCCATATCTGAAGCTACCACTGCACTGCTTGCAATGCTAGTGAGACAGTACGTTGTCTTCTACAAACAGACACAAAAAACTGCATTTTCTCCCAATTTGAAGGCACATGAGCACCAACGAATGCTAACTGTGGTAACAGTCATGAGTTGTCACATGTGAGTGGTAAATAAAAAGGCTTTTCTGGAAGGAAAAAAAAAAAAGGAAAAAAGGAAAAAAATAGCATTCATGGCTTTATATATACACTCTACCACACAGCTCCTCAGCAAGTTGCTCAAATGTTTTCTTTCCAAAGCATCTATTAAAAGGTTGGCAGTTCCCTCGTATCATACCTGAGACTCATCTCACATGGCAAACAGAAGTCTATGTGAAATGGATTAGCCCAGACAGTTTCCTTTAAAATGTAAGATAAAGGGCTAGAAGTTCTTCACAACCTTTTGCTTGCCAGCATTTGCAAGACAAGCAGCAAAATATACCAGGATTCCTAAGCACGGCATGTGCTTCCAACCAGAGCTGTAGCATTCATTTCATACGTAGTTTTATGGGCACTCAACTTCAAGCAACAGGCATGAGCATCCTTCATCTCTGTAACGTTGCTTTGTCAGCATCAATCCAAGCATGTAACCAGGCTTGGGGTAAATGCATGAGCCTAAAAGTAGGCTGCAAAAAAGCAGCAGTTTGAAGGGCTGGGGATGCTGCTGGAGGAGAAGCACTGCAATCCTATGCGAGCAAGCATCAGAGCTTAAATACACTGTGCTTTGTGCAGTGCTTTGTTTTGTGAATTACGCTCACGTTTAAATATCTGGAAGAAATTTGAGTGCCACCAGAGTCAGACTCATCTGCTCTGCAAGACACCACAGACCACATGGAAGGACTCAGTCCTCTGTTCATCTATAGGTCATATCCGTCCATCCATAGCACCCATTCAAGCACAAGGTCTCAAGCACAACATCAGACATGGACACAGAAATCCCTGCTAGCAGCGTCATCCTGATGACTCCAACCCTATGCAAAACACATGCAAAGGCTCCTCCTGCCCTCAGGTGACACAGATTTACACCATTACTCATGCTGACAGCAACCCCAGAAGACATACCAAAAGCCAAGGAAAAGCCACCTGCCCAATCAATCTAGCTGCAGTATAGAAAGAAAGACAAAAGCAGCAAAAGTAAATTAGTTTTCTTGAAGTTCTTTCAATTTTCATAGAGCAGAATGCATTTATGGCACAGGCAGGGAATCAAAAGCCTTTATTTTTATCTTGATATTATTTACCCTTTCCCATTTTCTATTTAAATATCCCTGAACTCCCAGAAGAATCAGCAATTCAAAATACCATTTGATATATATTTATAAGCGAGGGGAAGCACAGACTCATTCATTTACAGCTTGCCTCCTCTTTTCCTTTTTTTTTTTTTTTTGTTCTGTTTTAATTAGATTTTAAGTGGTGTAACATCAATGTGCAAACTTCTGTAACATCAATGTGCAAACGCAAGAATGACTTCTTGCTCCAGAACAGGCATCACAGGGAATCATAGAATCATTAAGGTCAAAAAAGGCCACTAAAATCATCCAGTCCAACCATCAAACAACCCTACCATGCCACTAAACTATACCCCTCGGTGCCACATCTATACATTTCTTAAACACCTCCATGGATTGTAACTCCATCATCCATGGTTAGTGAGCATGGTGGTGATGGGTTGATGGTTAGACTGGATGATTTTAGTGGTCTTTTCCAACCTTAATGATTCTGTGAGTCTGTATAGCCCTGTATCATTCACACACTCCGCTTTCCACCCACGAATCTGGGCCACGAGCCAAGGACAGCACACAAATTTTGCTCTCAGCATCATTTGCAATCCTCCGAGCAAAGTAAAGGCCAACACTAGGAAGGTGCCAAACACACAAATTTCTAACGTTAATCCTCAGGGCATCTCTGCAGTCACAAAACAAGGTGCTTCAGCAACTTATCCAAGACGATGATGTCCAAACCTCCATGGTCCAGTGTATCCACCACCCTTCATCAGGAACACGGGAGGCTCAGGCTCGGTATAAGGAAAAAGAAATTCACCAGAGGCGGTGGTGGTGGGCATGGAACATGCTCCCCAAAGCACTGGATACAGTCCAAGAGCATTTGGACAACCCTCTCAGACACAGGGTTTGAATTTTGAGTGGTCCTCTTTGGAACCAGGAATTGAGCTCAGTGATTCTTGTGGGTCTCTTCCAATTTGGGATATTCTATATTTATATGATTATACAATACTATAAAATGCAAGGCAAAGGCTCCATGACCAAAAAGTTTCTCCAAGCTCATTTTAGACACAAGTCAAGAGAAAGCAGGCAGGGAGATGTAACTGAGAAGCCAGGATTATAGAGGATGCACAATTACATTTACACTTGAGCTCAGTGTCTCCCACATCCTATTAAGCCACATTAGTGGCATCTGTGCTTTTCATTTTCACTTGCATCAACAGACACAAGCAGAACAGCAAGGGAGTGAGCAGTGGATATTATTTCCTGCTTGCTTGATGTCTGGAGAAAGCGAACCAGTGCGTCATCAGCACCCTGGGAATAGCCAGAGACCAACCTAGAGATGAGTGGAAGGAGTTCTTTTCACACTAAGAGTGGTGAGTCACTGGACCAGGTTGCCCAGAGAAGTGGTGGATGGCCCATGCCTGGAGACATTCAGGGTCAGGCTGGACAGAGCTCTGAGCAACCTGATGTAGCTGCAGGTGTACCTGTTCCCATTGCAGGGAAGAGATGACTTTCAGGGGTCCCTTCCAACTCAAACAATTCTATGATTCTGTTGGATGAATAAAGGAGACCATGCAACACCAATACCCCAACTCTATGCAACCCTACATTTCTACCCAACTTGATAAGCAAAATCTTGGGACTCCAATCCCACAGTGCACACGCGCCATCTCTGAGTTTGCAAACAAGGGGGTACTTGTATGGGAGCACAGAATACATGAGGACACGGCCTAAGCTGCAAATGTCACAATGCATTTAAAAAATAAACAGACCAAGCTTTCTCAGTGTACATTCCATGCATTTGAGGCACAAGAAAAACACAATTCCAGGTTGCAAAGCCTTCTGCTTTTTTGATATGCACACAAAGACACTGAAACACAGTTTCCCAAACGCTGTCCCATGTAGCTAGGACTAAACTTATCTTCATACAGTTTAAAGTACAAAGAGCAACAAAAAAGGTTCAGTTGGCCAAGGACTACTGCAAAAGCGGTACTTTCTCTGCTCAATGAGATGATTATTCTTCTTCCTGCATTTTCCCAAAAAAACATTTGTTTACAAGTCTGAGAATGACATTTCCATCCTAGCAGCTGATTCACAGCCACATGGGCTAAGAAAACAAAGAACACCCATGCCCAGAGGCTTCCTAAGATGCACTGGGTTTGCACGTGCCTTGGAGCCTAGTACCAGCTGAACCCGCTGCTGCCACTGAAGCATTCATGTCCCTCTTGGCATATATCCCTAAGCAAGGCCAGTCTTGTCCTCAAGTTGCTCAGAAGTGCAGAAACCCTATGCAAGACCAACATGTCTCTAGTATGCATGTGCACACCCTGTGGAAGGTCAGCTCTTTTCCTGGAGCTTGCAAACATACAAACTCCATGCTACACATCCTGCTTTGCATATGCATGCCCCATGAAAGGCCAGTCCTCCCCTCCCAGGTTGCAAACACAAGCATAAACCCTGTGCCTGGCCAGTAAGTCTCTACTTTGCACATGCATGCCGTGTGCAAGGCATGCCCTGTGCAAGACAGGGCTGTACAAGGCCCCATGCAAGCCTCCAGTGCAATGCCAGCCATGCTCTCTTCTTGCTAACACCCAAAATCCAGGCCATAAATGCTACTTTGTATATGCATGCCCCTGTGAAAAGCAAGTCTCAGACCTTATTTTCAACATGCAAACCCCACAGCTCCTCCCAGCTCACAAGCACTATAAATGTAAACTGTGTGCAAAGCCAGTAAGTCTCTAGCTTGCACGTGCAAACCTTCTGCAAGGCCAGCCCTGCTCCAACGATGCAAACACACCAACTCTGCACAACAGGCCACACTTTGCACATGCACACCCTCACCCATACAAGGCCATTCCTCCTCCTAGCTTGCAAACGCTAACATAAATCCTGCGCACAGCCAATAGGTCTCTAGCTTGCACATGCACGCCCCGTGCAAGGCCAGCCCCGCTCCCAGCTTGCAAACACACAAACGCTTCACAACAGAACCTGCTTTGCACACGCACGCCCCGTGCAGCAACAACCAGAAACCCTGCCGTGCACGTGGAAAAGCAAGCCAGAGACCTCACCTTGTGCATGCACGCTCCATGCAACGCTGGCTTTACTCCCAGGCTACAAACACACTCCCAAACCCCGTGCAAGGCCAACAACAGCCTATAATTACACATGCACTCCGCGTGCAAGGCCAGCCCCGCTCTCAAAAACACACCCCTGTGCAACGTGTGTCCCCACGCTGCACATCCCCATCCCGGCACGTCCTTACGTTATCCCCCCCGCATCCCCCGCCGCCATCCCGGGGTCGCGCACACCCCCGGGGTGGGGAGGGGGCGGGGACAGCCCCGCTGCCGCGCGTGCCCCTCACCTGCCGCCGCGCGCCCGCGCCGTGCCGCCGGCACCCAAACATCACGTGATCGCGGGGCGCGGGGCCCCTCCCTGACCACGTGCTCGCCTCCGCCCACCGGAGTCCGCCACCGGCCCTCCCATAGCCCCTCAGGTGCCGCAGAGGACTGCAACTCCCAGCGGGCAAAGCGAGGCGGCGCCACGCCTCCTTCCCCCTGAGCGGCCAATCAGAACGGAGCGTGGCAGGCATTTCTCGCTGTCCCGCCCACCTTCCCTCGGTGTCTCCCACCCTCTCTCCCCTCAGCGGGTTTTGCATCAGAGCGCTGCGCTTGCAGCCTGCGCGCTATCCGAGCTATGAGCTGGCTTCGTTCTGTCACCGTCCTCTTCCACATTCTCCCAGCGTCCCTCCCGCGACTAAACAGGGCTTCCCCTGCAGCCTCCCGTCCTGCTGCTCTCCCTTTTTGCGTCAGTTCCTCGATATTCATGTCTTCTGCCGTGTTTTGTTGCACCTTCACTGTTACAGTGTGCCACCTGGGCACACTGCTGGCTCGAATTCAGCCGACTGTCCGTCAGTACATCAAGGTCCCTTTTCCATCAGGCAGCTTTACTCCTCCCCAAGCCTGTAGGGTTGCCTGGGGTTGTTGTGACCAAAATACAGGACCCGACACTTAGCCCTGTTGAAACTCATGCAGTTTGCCTTGACCCATCAACCCAGTCTATCCAGTCCCTCTGTAGTGCCTTTCTCCCTTCTGACAGATCAACACTCCCAACTTGGTGTCACCTGCCTGAGTCAACCCTCCTCCCACATCACACTGATAGGATAAGTGATAATGGCTTTAAGTTGCGCCAACAGAGGTTTAGGTTGGATATTAGGATAAATTTCTACTCAGAATGAGTGATGGGGCATTGGAACAGGCTGCCCATCCGTGTTGTTCAAGAACAGCGTGCGTGAGGCATTGAGGGACATGGGCTGACGGTAGGACTACATGATCTTAGTGATCTTTGGCAACATTAATGATGCTACAACAGATCATTTTTTGGCCCAGAAAATAGCTCCAGCTCACACTGCACCTGTAAGGAATTGCTTTTTATTTGCTAAACGACAGCAGTTTTACTTAAGTGAGCTGGAAATGGTTGGCTTTGCAAAAGGAGTTATGAAGCAAGGATTTTCTTGATAAGGCCTTTAAATGACAATTCATTTTTACAGGGGGTTTACAAGCCAGCTGCCTTTTCAGAAATGTAATTCTGCACCAACAGCCTTGCCAAAAAAAGTTTTAAAAGGGTTGAGGGGCCACCTAAGCTTCCATAAACTTAAGGGTTTTACAACACCAAACCATTATCCGAGCAATTTTTTTTTCTCCATCTTTTGCTGCATTGGTAAATCATTTACTTGTGTGGCCTCAAAAGAAAATCCTGAGGGAAAAGGGCTATAGAAAGGCACTGAGTATGAAATACAGCTGTCCTACCTGCCATCTGCAAAATCCTGACTGCACTTACATGTGCAACACATTTGGTTCTTGCTGGAGGAGTTAGTACTGAGCCACTGAGGAAGAGCAGGTTAATCCTACAGTAAGCAGTAATTGCAGTTTAAACCCAATGAAAATTCAGGATAGTCCAATAATTTGCAGTACAAGTCGTACTTACTTTTGATGGGACCCTCGTGAAAGTAAATAAGAAAAATATATATAAATATGTGCTGATACAAGATAAAGATGAAATATTCTTGGGGAGAACAACCATAGCAATTACAGTAGGATGAAACTGTGCTTTGGTTTGCAGTCTCTACATCTTGCTTGTTTTGCATTTTGGAGAAATACTGCTTAATCAATAAGCGTGTTATTCATACAAAAGTAATACCACGTATCTCTCGGGATATTTTTTTTCCGAGGACTTTGGGCTTTGTGTGCAATCGTTTTGTGTGCATTAGGCTTGGTCCTTGTTATCACCACTTGCTTATTCATCTGTCGTTAATAGTTTTCATAGAATCACTGAATAGAATTGTAGAATAGTTTGAGTTGGAAAGGAACCCTTGGAGGTCATCTGCTCCCTTGAACTCAGAAAAAAATTAACAGCTTTTTTTTCCATCCCATAGCAATAAGGGATTGACAGTGAGACTGTCATCCAGTTAGATGGCTGTGTCTTCAGGAATTCCTTCCGGTATGTGAAAGGTGTTTCCTTTTGACTCACAAGTTTGTTTTGTGAATCACCTTAAATCAGAACCTTTCCAGAGCTATACTATTAAAGCATTTGTAGAAAGGTTATCCTCATGTTCTCTGGATCACTTTTTCCTGGACTGTGTTTATTCAGTTTTGCTTTAATAATACCTCCTGGCTCTTAATCAACTGCCACTGTCATTTTTTTAATATCATCTGATGAGTTTCTTTGTTTGATGTATGATAAAGCAAGTCATGTTTTTATGAAAATGTTATCAAGGATTTAATAGAAAATGATAAATCTACAATGGCCAAATATCTTTGGGAATATTAAAAGAACAGTGTATCTTCTATTAAGTTATAATGTAAGAAAAACAGAGGAACAAATGTAAATTTTTTCTAGATCGTATTATATTCTTATATATAACCAGTGGGCTTTCATTCTCAATAAATTCTACATAGCTTCCTCACAGGCTGTGGGAGTACAAAGAATAACTTCCATGAAGAATAAGGAATTGGCATTTGGGTCTCCCAAGATATCATTTGTTTTGTGGTCCTAACGTTGCTTCTCATAAAATCAAAGCTACTATTAATTTTCTGTTGTTTTGGATTTGCTGAAAAATGTTGGTATGTGCAGGAAAAGAGAGGGTAATTAAATGGCGTATCACAGGAAGGCTTTAATTACTACTTAATTTATCGCATTCAACCACAGTTGTTGAGTCCTTCCCAGTAGCCATATAAACTTGACAGCCGAAATGTCTACCACAGCATTAAAGGAAGAATTAGGAGCAACTTATTATAACAACATGAAGAACACACCCTAAATACTTGTCTGAGGTATGTACAAGTCGATTCCTCCAGATTTTAGAATAATCTAGGAACTATATTGTAGTATAGTTTTGTCATCCTCTCGTGCCTAGGGAATCTTCCGCTCTTGTCCAAAAATGCTTCTTTTCAGAGGTTCCTTTCTCCATTTGCTCCAGCTTCTTAGCAGATCTCAAGGAGAAGCGTTCTCTTTTCTCCTCTTTCCAGACTACTGCCTCCCTTTGCTGTTATTTCTGCATTATCCACAGTACTTGTATAGGAATTATAGCTTTTCTGAAGACAACCAGACAAAATATAGCTGTGTTTCAGTACCACTTAAGTTTTCAATCCTGGATTAATTGGACAATTGAACAGCTGAAAGTGTTGGTTTTTTACTTTGATAAAAATGCTGCTTTTCATTCAAATGTGTTATATACCAAACCAGTCAACTGCAAGAAGCACTGGAACAAATAGAATTTGGTCTGAATGTGGGTTTTCATTTTCCATTTTCAGAGCTCCATGACGGTGACCTGAGATTCCCTGAAAACAGTACAGCTCACAGAGCTTATCACAGCATATCTGTATGTTGTTACCTGTGAGCAATTTAATAAAAAAGATATTATAGCAATAATAAAAGGAGGCTGGAGAATGCCAACTAATGCCTGAACAGCCTCATTTCAGTCTATTTAAAGTCCAAGAGAGACTTGTATTCCAGGACCTAGCAGATTCTGGCATAAAACAGATGTTTTCATCAAGTACTGCAATGGCAGCAATACATGTCCCAAGCTGGTGACTATCTGGCAGGTCTGATACATCACAAGGAGGAATCACGAGCAGTAAGGAGTCTATTTTCAATACTTTGTACTGCATTCCTCTGTCGGTTACACCCAGGCATAAATGTGGATTTTAGTATTTTTATGCCTACATTTATCTTAGCTTCATTGGATTTAACTCTTCGTTTTCTAGAAACATATTATTGTGTCAATATTAGCAAGAGACCCAAATGAAAATAAAAAGCTTTGTATGTGAAGCAGTGATAAGTCAATCACCTCATCAGTAAAGCGTGTCCCATAGTCCCAGTAATCCTGGTAATCATCTTTGTTTATGAAAGCCAGAAATATTAAACTGAACTCCTCACCACTCTGAGCAGGGATGATGAATGGCAATTTAAATTAGTGTTGACAGAGCTAAAGGAACACATGCTGAGTGCAACTGTCTTAACACCACAAAGAAGGAGCATGGCTAAACCAAGCTAGTGGGGAGCAAAACTGGGAGCTAACTAATGAACTTCTGAACAAATCCCTCATCCTGTCTAACTCCTCTGATAGCCTGTTTGATGCTGGAAAAAAAATAATAATAATCCATCCGAATATTTGTAAATATGGAGAAGGGAGTTTTACTTTTCACTTAAGAGTACTGCCATCGCTGCTGCACCTGTATAATCTGAATAAATGTTTAACCCATGTGACAAGCTGCAGTATGGGAGTTAGAAATCCAGCCTGCAAGGAGAGCATCACAGAAATGAAGGGAGATTTCAGGTGTCAAAGTCTTAGTACCTAGGTATGCCCCATAACATCCCATTATCCAGTGAGTAAATGAATTCCTCCCTTTTATCATGAGCCATATCCTTGTGAAACACCTAAGCACATCAAGGAAGCAGAACGTGGAACCCTGAAGTACAGGTATATACATAGCCTGTTAGAAAATGGGAAAACTGCCTTTGTTTGTCTGTATTCTCATTTAACCTACAAATATTTCATTTGCTGCCTGATTCTAAAACTGAATTCCTGCCACCAACATCAACTATTTATTTGGTTACTGCTATTAGAGCTGCAGATACCAGCACTACGTAGCCAAGAATCATTCTTTCTACCTGTGGTCTCATCCAGCTATTATGCAGAACTGTGTGTTAGAACTTGATTTCTAAAAGATTGTTTCCAAGATAGAAAAGCTGAGCACAGTAGACTATATAAGTCTTTTTATCTAAGTGACTGCTTCCAGTGCCTCGGTGAGCCCTTTTGAAACTTCATCAGCTCTCCCTATGTTTGCAATGTTGGCAATGTCACTCTGCTTGGAAAAAAGAAAACAAACATCGTCTTGAGATACAGTGGTG